CCACATTCTGCTTAACAGCCCTAGCAGGCATTAAAATATGAATATCGCGGGCTTTGAATATCGTGGAGATTGAGTAGATTTAAACAACTTTCAACAAAACTGCAGCCGTTTGGGAAGATCTCATACGCCCGAAAAAATACCATCAAATGTTAAAAATTTATGTTAAAGTTTTCCTTCTTCGAACCACGGTTTCAGAGAAATTTTGGGTGTGCTTCTAGCCCACGGCTTTACCTAACCGCCAAAGGTCACTCATGGCCAGCAATGTTTTTCAGCTTTTTTTCTGCCAGCTGGCTGTGTTTGAACTAGTCGGTCCTCATGCCCATTTTTCTAAACAAGTTGGGAAAGAAACCTATTATTATTTTTTTCATCGGATATTCCCCACTGTTTATGACATGGTTCTCTGCTTGTGCAACCCGCGCTACCCGCAAGCCCCCCAATCATATTTCATTTTGACTTTAAACGTCTGATCATGCAAGGCGGTATGCCACCCACATCATGCATCCTCGGACGACCTGAGGCCGCCGATGTAGTATGTGGACACAGCAAATAATTGTTGGTGGGCTTCTACTCGATATGCATGCAATATATTCAGATAGAGATACACGGGGTTACACTCGGTAAGATTTACCCATGAACGCTCTGACCGTCATTTGATCAACAGGCCTCAGATCAGGCCAGGAGTAGCTGCGTAATTTTGGAAGTGTGAGGACTTAGCCACCAAGGAGCTCGTTTGTTGGACTAGTTCGTACGAGTGACGACAACGAACTGCGATGTCGATTTAACTCGGCTACAGCCAGGGGGAATCCGTTGCGTTGGGTGTGTTTGGGGCGTTCGAGGCCATTTCTGAGTGACCGAACAAAACGGTGTCGCTTGCTCACCAGGTTCTAAGAAAGTTTTTAATTGCCACCGACTTTAACTAATCATCATCAGTAATACATTTTCATGGTACTCCGGATACGAACTGTGAATTATTTGACGCCATGGCACTCGGTCACTTACAGTGACTCCTAAGCCACCCTTTAACGGGCATTCAAGTAGCCAACTGTTGATACAACCTTTTTGTATTTTGAGTACTACGTGTATCATGAGTGGCAGCCTGATTATCGCCGCACAGGATCACTGGAGCAGTCAAAGTCAACTCCAACCGTTGCTAATTCTTCCCAGGGTTCTTCAACACCGTTGTACGTATAAGTAAAGTAAACGCTTGCAAATGAGAAGGCGATATTAAGAAGGCTTAAAAATCTTGTTTCCTTATGTAACTTATCTGCGTGTGACCTGATGGATTAAAAGAGGTTATGGTGTAAACCATCACTAATATTCCGTACTCTGTCACTTGATCAAAACACACTCCAAAGCTGATTGCGAATACCATATTTCTGAGCACGCCATAAACCAATACCTATCAGAATGGAGGACTTCCATTAGATTTGTCGCGCCTGAAAAAACTGTGTCCACATTTTCCCACGTCGTATCAAATAAGGTTCATAAACCCAACGGTAACACATGTCAATCATGAATGGAAGCTGCGTTACGTTTCCGCGGTATATGCAGGAAAAAAGTGAAACCAGCGCAACCCACAAGGTGCGAGTTTTATACATGTAATCAGATCTGTTCTGACCTTGACGTTCTAGAGGCGTTTCAATACTTTGCTCACTAGCCGCTTTACGTCGTGCTCATGTGCCGCCTTGTTGGTTGCCCCAGTGCCTTGTATACTCAACTTATATTATTATATTGAGCGGTCTGTGGCTGGCTCTGAGAGACAGGTCTTCCTCCCATGCCACCTGCTTGAAGCCTCATCCTTTTAAAATTCAGTCGTAATGATACCAATTGTTCCATTATTAATTTTCGGAGGAAAACTCATTTAGACACTCTCGAGAGTTGGTCACTCTGAACTATATTCACTTGTTACCACAACTTCTATGGTCCGTTTCAATGCGAGGGGACCGATGTCGATTTGTCCTCGGTCTACAGACCTATCTTGAAGCCGGCTGGTTAACCAAAGACAGTCTTCTTCACGGAACACGCGACGGGCGAATTCGAAGGAGCTTCGTCATCCAAATTCTCAATGAAGCATGGCACGTGTCACGGAATATAATGTAATATAAGAGGCAAACGTTAATTTTGAGTACCGACTTCACCCGCTTTCTTTGGGTCCTCTTGGGGAAAGCGCGACCACAAGAAAGCGATTACACCTGGCCAGTTTACTGGGAGTATGCCATGCATAAGGTTGTAGAGATATTCCATGCATAAGGTGGGTGTTTCGGTTTTATGTGTAGTGGATCATATCAAGCCACTGGTGAATTTCATGCAGTAGGCATTATTGGCATCGGAAATGGGGCGCTTCTGTCGCACCTGTCAGGACTCATGGGATATGCGAGGCGGTTGTTTACAACAACGAAAGGTATTTGGCAAACGGGAAAGAACGTCTCAAGTTTCTTGGGTATTGGCAAATAAAGCAAGTAACGTGCTGCTAGACAATTCACCGTCAAGACATGCCAGCTAAGAAGACTAGCCAGATAGTTAATGAAGTTTCAGTAATTCAACTTTGCGGTACAGTATGCCGGTGGTCAGGACAGTGCTGTCTAAGACTCGCTTCCCCGACTCGATTGGGAGGCTGATGAACTTGTAGGCTCAACCAACTTTGCAGATTTGGGTGCATTGTTTGGTTAAAGAGAAACGAACCTTAAAATGATGTATTCCGCATCCTAAGGCTTAATTTAGCATCTAATGTTTGGATCACCGTCTCAAAGCAGCAACACCTGACCTACTGCAGTGCTCTGGTTGCGGAAGGTGAAATGCATATGTCTAAAGTGAACATCCGCAATGGCTTGAAAACCCAATGGAACGTGGGCACCGCCTGCTGTGAGTGACATTATCGAGTACATATCGGCCAGGACCGGATTTGTGAGTATTTGCTGTGACCTATTGTGGCCGCAAACGCACTAGAATGTCAGTCACTGTTCGTCCGGATGGCCAGCAATGAAAGAAACGGAGAGACAAAGACCGCTGATACACTCAGCCATACTTTGCCGATCGGCATAAGTATAGGGGATATGTGAGTTCAGTTCCTCACCGTCAAGCCCAAACAGGATACACTCAGTCGTCGTTATGAATTATTCTACACGGCTGTTTGAGTCGACCACGACTTCATGCCGAATGGTAACGTGCCTTCAGGAAAAATGTTATCGTATGGGTTGCAATACGTGAAAAATCAAGGAAGTTTAAAATGATGATGGAGAACTGAGGAATCTACTGATTACGAACATCTCCGTATCATTATCAAGTCATCAGATAAACGGAAAGGTTTAACACCATGTTACAAAGGTGTGTCAACAGTCGCAATTCCGACTTGAAAGGGAAGCTGGAAAACTTGTTTTCCATTTGTTTCTTCTCGAAGCGTTTCTCTACTTAGGTATCACCGTTTGACTTAGCATACGGGTGCAGGTGATACTTTAAGGGCTTGCGGTAATCAGACTTGCCAAGCGGGTCTGTGGGATACAAGGGATGTAGTTTGAATGCTCATCCAAACTTAGTATATAGAAAGCGCCTCGGTGAAACACGAGACGATATAATGCATTTTGCAGCGCGAAAGTCCGAATAACACGCACGTTTGGTGCAAAAATAAATATGAGGGGGATCTAGCTGCCATGTATACGGGTAGGAAACCTAGACAAGAATGCACAAATCTTTAGTCTGGCATCCGATAAAATCATATTAGTGGATATTGTGGCCTGTGAACGGTTTACGGGAATCTTCTACGATCGGAATGAGCACAACTTCATCGGATATGAGTGACACAAGATCTAACACTTCGATCAATCTGTTGTGTTGACTTATACGTCATCGCGGTCTCGTCTGGCGAACTGGTGTGCTGTTCGTATTGTGGATCTTTGAGTTGTAAACGGAGAGCAGAACCATTGACACGTTTCCAAAGAGAATCGGGTTTGGAATTAGTTAAGCGGTAGACGCTTGGAGGTGAAACCGATTTGCAGCAGGCAAACACTCGAATGTCTGATTCTGGCAATTGTGTCAATAAGTGACCGTGGTTGTTTGCGTGTCTGCGCTGAGGATGTGATGAGCTGTCACATGGTATGCATGGACAGGGATCGATACGGTCAGCCATCAAAGAACTTGAACCGTTCTTTTCCTAAGTCTCGCGCTTTAGTGAAAAGTGTCTGGATCGCGCGTCTGGCCGTTTTTTGTGAATCAAGAAGGCAGCGACCGGGTTGACATTGAGTGGAGGGACCCCGCACCAAACATTCTCGTCCACAAGTCACGCATGTAAGTGAGTTTTGGAGAATCCGAAAAGTGACGTTGATTTGAGATCAATGCGAGGGATGGGGCGGATTTTCCAGATGGTACGTGACATTCCAGGTGACGCGTAATCGATAAGCCATTAGTTATGGTTCAGTGTTGTTCACTTCCTTAAATTAGATGCTTCAGATCCCATCGCATATAGAGCATCAAAATGGACTGTGATGTCCATGGGTCCAAACGTATTAGGTGTGATGTTAATCCTACGATTGCATTTGATTCTGTCGCTATCAACTGACCTCCAGAATGTGACTCTATGAAAACTAAACACTCAAAATCATTGCCGTATTCCAGTGAATTTTCCAAAAATCAGTACAGGCAAGGCATTCTTGCACCCAACGTTTGATACTTAATACATTCATCGGTAGCATTTTCCAGGCGACCTATATTAGGAGATTTGAAAGACAGAACAGATGCCCTCTTTGTTCCAGATGCGTTGTGTCTCGCATTAATCTCCAGTGAACTTCCAGTTGATACCGACATATCCTGGCTGAATTAAATAGATGAAGTTTCCTGCGTGTTGTCAAGTCATTGAGGTTGTAGGCAGCTCCAGAGTCGAAAATTCCCACTTTTGGGATTTGCGCTACGTCATAGTTGTCGTACCGTGAAGACTCGATACTTCTGTCCGATGAACCGGGTGTCTATATTCTTCATATACCTTCCAGCTTGCTAAGAATGGGCACATTTGATTGGCGGTCGGGCAGTTTTTTAATTTCTGTTGATGAGCGCTTTGTCAATTTAGACTGCGTGCACAATATTGTTCTTACTTTGCTTGGGTCTAGGGGGACAACGCGTCATACTTGTGATGTGTGACTAGCGCTGAACTGGGAGTCATATTTTAACTTAATTAAATTTAATTAAATTAACTTAAATTTAATTGTAAACTAATCTATGAGGCTGGCTGACTCATTTGTTTCGATGAGTTCTGTTGGCATGCATGTAACCTGCTGTAAACGTGCAGTGTTAGCCGAGCGTTTGGCACCTTGAAGATTACCACTGCTCCAGCTCATTTGATAAGGAAACACGTTTTCTAGGGTGATCAACCTTAAGTAATGTGTCTTGCTGCAACAATTTTTGAAGTAGCTCAAATTCAAACCAATAATATCCATGCTTCAGTTGTCTATTGTATCTCTCCTGTTCCGACAAGATCTTTATTCTGCTAACTTGGTGTTCATTTTTCTACCAATCATTTTGCTGCACTTCATATTTTGTGGCACACAAGCCTCTATCGACGCGACTCAAATCAATGGTCGTAACAGGCGCATATTCCATTTCTTTGTGTCTGGCCAATTAGCTCTACTGCCAAGCTATATTCATTTTTGGCTGTGAACATGAATTACCACACCCCTTACGGAGACAAGTTTTATGCGAGAAGAATCTTGCACTTTTGGGCCTAGTTTATCGTCAAGTCTCCGATGTATTTCGTTTCTATAATCAATTGCTAGAAGGTAACCGTTGGATTGTAACCACCTTCTCAGTATGTGTACTGCTCTGGATGTCCAACTTAGTGGGTTCTCCGGGTCAAAGCCCTGGCATCAGTTGTACCATTGGTGCAAAATGGCCAACGACCACTCAGTCCCTCCATCGTTGTTTCCGTTGTATAATAGACGCTCGCTATTTTTCTGCATATCTTGAGAGGGAAACGTAATTAGCTCTCAGGTTACCATATCATCCTGGCACTTTACTGGTCGTGGCCAAGACTAGGTTAGACAGTTACGGCTAAATAAAACATCGTCAGCTAAATTAGTGGGTGAACAACGCAGGTCAGATCGGTTACATGTCCTTAAAGAACGAGATCATAATTTTTTCATCGGAAATCCTACGTCTTGCCTCACTGTGCCTGTGGCGGTGGTCAGTTCACATCCCTCAAGTTTCACAGGGATGAATGTCGAGTTGTTCCATCATTTCGCCATTTTCTCTTCACTTTTCACTTACCAGAGGAACCTGCCCTCACCTCCACAACTGAGATTCACCTACTTAACTCGGTTCCAGGAAATGATTGTTTCTGCACCGTTAGTTTTACTGGCCGAATTGCGATGTGTACACGTTGGTACGGCAATCAATTGTTGTTTGTACCGGCGTATCCTCTCATGATGCATTTCCTGGAAGTCAAGCAAAGCACTTTCGGTTTAAATTCGCCCTGCTTCTTTTATTAACAAGAACTCTTGTTATTCTGGCTTATGGTTGGCCAGCTAAAAGCCGAAGTTCGAAGAAGTTCGTTCGATGAGTATATTTGGTGTCTGTGCTTTCCTCTTGTGCGATTGTTTGCAGCCAACCCCATACCATAACGGGATTCAACCAGGTGGATTATACAAAACAGAGCATGCTGACGGTGGCGTGACCACAGGGTTCGAGGTTAACTAACAGGCTGAGTGCGCTGCCGAGAGTAGGCATTCAGTAAAGTATGAAGTGCAGCCCGACGCCGAACCTAGCTGGATGCTACAGCTTCTACAAACAGCGACTCACCACGTGTGAGTCATACGGTGTCACTGATCCGATCAGCGAATTAGCCATGCATTCCACGCAGTTTCAGCTCAACGATGAGAATTCTGTGTAGGATCACTTGAAGCCACTTGGTACGTTTAGACGGTTTGTCTGAACTACCATCCATGTAACCATATCCGAGAGGCCTAAGAGGCTGGTCAAACTTGAGCGCCTTTCATCAGACTACGGTGTCTGTGGTTGATAGGTCCGTGTCAATTTATTGGCCGACAAGTTGGCACACGGATCTTGTCTGTTCACAGTGAGTATCTTCACAAGTAAGGACAGACATTAGTTCCTGCTTGGTAGTACTCTTTTCCTAAGCTTCCCACATTAGGGTTTTCTGAAAGCCTCACGGACTACAATGTTGCAAAGTTGGTCTTAACAGGTTTGGTTACACCATAATCACCGCTGTGGCTTGTCCTAAACTGGTTGCATAATATGTGGGTTCGATTAGCTACATTCTCGAGAAGTTTTGCTCGCAGCGGACACTCTGGATATACCCTGAAATGTTTTGCTGAGAGTGGTCATCTTGTTCTGAGACTTTCTACTACATGTTGAGGAAAGGGTGTGGACCTTAAGTACTTTAGACCACACAACTATGATTCTCTGCTGGAAATCTTGCGTATATATAGGGTAAACCGTTCTCTCAGACTGAAATTTCTAACCTCTTCTTTGCCACCTTTGAAACAATCTTTTCGTTGGTTTGACACATTTTACCTGCTAATCAATCGTTAAGCCCTCGGATGCCCCGTTGCTTAGCTCTTTCAATACTTCCTCGAAGACCATTTCAATAAATCCAGTATGTCTGAATGCCTGCTCTGTGCTTCCATTAGTTTTAGATGGACAAGCCAGAAAGAAACGAAAACCAAGCGGTTCCTTGGAGTGAGGTGAAGAAGCACACTTCAGTGTCAGATAGGTGGATTGTTATTGAAAACAGCGTTTATGACGTGACTCACTGGCAGTATCGTCATCCTGGTGGAAGGACGATCCTCGGACATTTTGGTGGTCAAGATGCCACAGTAAGTTAGTGTTGAAACCGTTTAATTTAATCGTTTCCCGACAGGAAGCGTTTCGGGCACTTCACAAAAATCCTGAGGAAGTTAAAAAACATCTAAAGCCACTCTATGTGGCTGAAGTTGATCAAAACACTGCTGATCCAAAAGAGGCGGACGATTTAGCCAAACGCGCAGCGTACGTACAGGATTTTGAAGAGCTTCGGAAAAAAATGCATGAACTGGTTGGTTCAACTGTAACCTGTACTTTTAACATATGGTGATGTAATTTATTGATGCCCGAGGAAGTGTAGTCTATTTCATCTCGTGCGTGGTCGTTCAGCCAATATCCCCCATGCTAGTTAGTCGAAGAATATCATTTGGTCCAATCGCCGAAAGATAACGTTTTGATTTTATCTGCATATGCATATTTACTGCATACGCACTAACAAACAACCTATTCAGACCGCGACGTGAGTTAACTTTTGAAATCGCAAGTTCTCAGTTTCCAGGTTTTACGCGTTAGTCGATGGAACATTTTGGTAGTTTGTTGTACCCAGTGGCTGTGCATCGTCTTCCCATTTGTTCACCGCAAAACGTCACGCTCGGTCTATTACCACTCCTATTGTCAGCCTCAGCTGTATTGGCCCGCTTTAGACCTTTATGGTCATTGTTTTCTGTTAAATATTCAGCTACCTGCAGTGGTGCTTAAACCTGTTTCCGCCATTTGTATCGATGCTTGTCGGGAAGGCTTACTACAAGCAGTGAACTGATCTTTACACTGTCAGAGAGTAGGTTGCGAGGTGGCCAGTACGCAAACGAGAGTAGAGTCAGTATGACCTTTCTTTTGAGTAAGCTGTATCTGGTATTTCTTGTCAAACCAGCGCTGTCTTCCATTAAGGGGCAGGCGATTTGATGCTGCAGCACTAAACGTCGTCAGCCGGCATATCTCATAGCTACTTGTTGCCATCAATGGCTTGTCTACTATGGTACACTATGGGTAGAGCGAGACATCGTCAAACACATGTTCTGTGTTCATCAGGTTTTTTGGGCCAAAGTGTAATGGCAGAGCACTTATCGCTAATGAGTTCCAACCTGATCGACTCCAGCACACTCGCGCTTGATTAAATTGGCTTTGTTCTGCAGTGATACTCAAGGATCACTGTGTACATGAGTAGACCAGTCTATCGAGGTAAGCTCCTATTACCTGACTGAACAGAACTCATGGTTGAAGCATCCAACCGCTATTTCGTCAGGAAAGTTTTTGGATCGTCTTTTAAACCAATCTGAAGCAGTCATTTTGCCTTGGTAATTACTGCCTACGCAGAAAATGAATTGGCCTAAACCCCCAGCTAAACTGACCTGGTATTTATTTCTTGTCTCACGATAACACACCAGGTTATATCTTCTACAGATGGCTTAATGTTGGGTTACCTTGGCCATGATCGACACGCTGATTTTCCGAATCCCATCTTTGCTTTGTTGTAATTGGCTCACTGCTTTAAATTTAATTCCATATATAACCCAAATCGACCAGAATTAATCATTGAAAAAACGTGTCCACCCAGTGTTCCCCCTTTCAAGTTTATCTTAGGGCCTTTCAGAGACTCAAACCGTAACTTTCATAACTGGAATGGCTTTATTGACCAGCTGTCGTGTTAAGTGCGTCCATCGTTGGCAAATTATAGTTTTCGCTCACTTGGCATTAAGACAAACTCTTTGGGACCGTCGAAGTGGTATCAAACAGCTTGCAACAACTGCTTGCGCTTGTTGATTACTATCCGCTATCAAGCAATTTATCGCACTGAGTTTCAAATTCCTCCCTCCAAATTCTTGATTGCATGGCAGTACAGTATACACTATCAAGTCTGTAGGTGCTATTGTATTTTTACTCGAAGTAATATCAGAAGGTGAAATAGCACTAACAATAAACAGTTATGTATAGTGGCTACCAGAGACACAAATTACAACTGAATAATGGACAAAAGAAGTATGAGACTTATCAAGTTCTTCGTTTGATAAGTTGTAGCCGATGCAGCCAATGTTTGTGGGACGCCGTGGAATTGAATGTGGTCTTGACCGAGTGTGTTGAAATCTGGCCTGTTCTTTGTCGTTTAATCCAAAACGATTTCGAGCCCAGACTTTTCCTGCACAGTGAGTCGTGCGTCGGCTTGAAATGGTCTGGTCAAGGCGCTGTGTGAACTGACAAGCGTCGGGCTGTGGGATCGTTGTTCCGCATATATATATGTTGTGAGTGAGGATGCGCTTGCATTGTTTGTCTTAGGATAAGATTCCAACACTCTTGGTTAGTCGTGGGGCGCATGTTCGTCTTAATGCGGACAGGAATGAAACAGCGGGTGTGCATGCGTTGAACAGATTATATGAGTGGATGAAGGTAAACATTAATGAGATAGTAATCGGACTGTGAAAGCGGTTGAAGATAAACGTTGATGGGGTGGTAAGCAAACTCTGGTAAAGTGGTCAAAGATAGACGTTGAAAGGATGGTAACCAAACTCTGGTAAAGTGGTCGAAGATAAACGTTGAGGGGATGGTAACCAACAAATACTCTCCCGCTGGTAAAAGTGAAAAATAGTTTTCAATACAATGCAAAGGTCGTTAAGTTGGGACGAAACGGTCTGGCCAGTGAACGTGTCTGCCAGAACGTGTGATGCGTGTGCTAGTAGTCGGAGTGAATTGGGCTGACGACGAGGTCGTTGTTGATTCCGTTGAGTCGGACTTAAACTTGCAGTTCGGTAATTCTGTCACTTTTGAGGGTGAATCAATACAATCAGTATAAGCTGGTTTCAGACGATCAATACTAACTGTATCAGTCTTATCACGTAACTGAATGGTGAAGTATCTGGGGTAACGACTTATAACTGCGAGTGGACCCTCATAAGGAGGTTGTAAACCCATTTCACCCTCAAAATTGTGATTAATTTTAGTGTCATTAACAGACTAGAAAATGTCTCTTCATTAACTACTTTAAAACGGAGGAAATTTATTCACTTTTCAACATTTCTCTTACACTGTCTCAACACCCACGCTCTACATGCTCAAATGACCTACCTCACTTACATTTCTCTGCACACCTTTTCTGTCCAGTCCATACAGAATCTCCGAATTCTCGAACGACAACGATTAGACGCATTGGTTAAAGGATTGAACGTTTACAAGAATCTTTTCGATCAGTCCGTTGTGTCATTCCAAACGGCAGTATCAGATTTGGCGGTATGTCTCGCCATTTTCTTTCATGGCACATCGTGTTGCGTTTCCGACGTACCTCTCTGAACTGACCAATCGTCTGGTGCGACAGCTTTTGTTTACTCTGAAGTCCCATACCTCATTGGGTGCAGTAATTTGGGGCACTTTTCGGAAAATTTGACATGGAATCGTCTCTGCATTAATCAATAATTGGTC